AATCAATGATTTTTAGAATAATTTTTTCGAGTTTGTTACTGGCTTAAGAATGCTTCCGCTATTTCGAATTGAAAATTCAGAATTTGAGGTAAAAATCAGTGAAAACTGTGAATTTCATTCAAATTATTTCATCAAAATTAATAGAAATAAGAAAAAATTTGAGTTAATATGTTCTAGAATATTTAATTAATTAAAAATTCATGTTTTGATTGAAGAATCAATTCAATTGGGAAATCATTATTTTGATGCTGATAAAAAAATTAAAATTCTATTAATGTTTAGTAAAATTTGATATTTTTATGTATTTTACAATGAAATTGTACACACTTGAGTTAATGCCTCGTTAGTTACCCCAGAACTCAATTCTGAAATTTTTTTCGATTAAAGGAAACTAGAATTCTTTATTCATCCTTCAGACACGAATGAATGATTTTCAGAATTTTTTTTTCGACTTTGTTGCTATTTTGAAAAATTTCGGCTGACATTCCCGACACACTTCTTATAAAATTTTATCGAGTGATAATTCCACTATTTCAGGGAATTTCGTCCCTGAAATTTTGCACTTTGATATAAAAACCCCTGAAATCTGTGCATTTCATTTCAATTATTCAATGAATATAAATAGAAAATTAACAAAATTCATCTAAACATATCCTTAAATCTTTAATTAATTGAAAATGCACGTTTTGATTGAAAATTCAAGTAAAGTAGAGAACCATTATTTTCATCTGCTGAAAAATTTGGAATTCCATGAAATTCTCAATGAAATCTGACTTTTCACGTACTTTTCAATAAAATTGCAATTATTTCGAACGATACACTCATCAATAAATCAAACAGATTTTAATTTCAATTTCCTGTCTCTTGAATTCTCTTTTTCGTTTGAAAAAAGTACACTGCACAAAAACAGTTCGTCTGTTGCTAATTTATCGAGACAGCCCCATTATCCCAGGTGTTATCCTCAGGGGATTAAACCCCCTTCAGTCGCAAAACGCACATGAATTTTCAAATCGTTCTTAATTACATTTAACTGTCGATTCACACTTACCTTAATACCTCGTTAGTTCCCCCCCGATGCATGCGCGACACCTCTTCGTGATTCTTATCTCAATGGGGTTATGAATTTTCATCTGGGAATAATTGTCCTGGAAATTATCCGGCGTAAAGGGGGATAAACCCGGTGGGGCCGCGTATCGCGTGATGCTTGATGGACGGGGAAATTCATGTCGCGTTTATTCTTTCCTTTTGCGAACTCTTTTCTCCCCCTTTCATTTCACCTCGTCGCGGTGTAGAGATGCGGAGGCATTAACAATGCACCCCCGCGCTGCGGGCCGCATTCCAGTTGGGGTCAACGGTTTCCCTGGGCTGACCCGCGATGTTGGTTAAAGAAGGCTGTATCGCGGGGATAAGACGAGATGTGATCACGCGCGGACGACTGGGCCCTTCGGCTTGCGTGGGATTCTGGGGCGAGCGGGGAGGACGGGACGTGGTAATTAAAATAAACCACGGCATTATCGAAATGACACGGGGCGAAAATCCTTCAAGTGCCATTTGCGCCAGAGATCATTCTCCAGGAGTGATCATCTGTCACTGCGTATGAAGAGGCACTGACCGATGTACCATTTCATCACTGGGCATATTGTACATTTTGAATACATCACGAGAGCTCGTGCTGGACGAGTTGACGATTTACATTCGGGACGTGAGAACAATTTTTTTTTCTTTCTTCTCTCAATTAAATTGAGGATTTATGATGATTAATAGGTGACAAATTTTCAAACGGATCGATTCAAGTTCACTAGGATTTTAGGGCTTGCGGAGGTTATTTACGATTAGAGGAGTTGCTCGAGCTTGTTGAATTACGAATCGATTATATTCATATTTAATTTAAAAATCATATTTATATTTTTTTTTCTCATGCGGTTTTTGCGTGAGGCCAGCTCAACTAGTCTAGAGCAATTTTATCAATCTTAACGTTACGGAGAATAAGATGAAATGGAGCCAGTAAAATGTTCAATTCTAAGGCTTTCAATTGAGTATGATAAAAATTGTTGTTAAAGAGAAAAAAAACATTAGTATTCTCCGTTATCCGGAGCTTGGGACTTAGCATGCTCAGTTAAATAAATAAAACCAATCGCGATCGCGTACATTAATTGTCACATTCAATCGGTATCAATTGATCAGTGATTTCAAGCAGACATTTTTTAAAAATTGAACAAATGAAAAATGGGAATTTCGCGGCTAGTGGAAGGACAATCACAAACCCCGTTGTTGAATCGCCCCTGAATTTATCGAAATTCTGGAAGTATTAAGGAAATGCGTTATTTTAAATTAAAATTAATTTTTTTATGAGTGAGAATTTCCATTATCTCACGGAGAGAAAATTACAATCCATCGGCTGTGAAAAATTCTAGTGCTGTTAGGGTAAAATTTCTTGGTATTTCTGGTAAAATTTCAGGGGATTTCTGTGAAATTTTCACAGAAATACGGGGCAAAATTCACGTTTTCCCCAATAAAATTTCTAGTGCCGGCACTGGAATTTTTTCCTAGCCGTCACTTTGCGCCTCTTTTCCCCTGGTATCACTAGAATTTTTCTAAAAAATTTCTCTCCGTGCTCCTCAATAATCATCCCTGGAATGAATAAACTATTCTACTGGTTCACATGAATAAAATCTCCTGCATACCCCAGAAATATGATTAATTCGACGGCCAAAACCTGCGAACATGTTTCACCCAGACTAATGAGAGCAGCGTAGTAACACAGCGTTAATCCATGGCGCAATAAGCACAGCTCTCTGGTGCGGGTAACAAAAAAAAATGTAATTGAATTTTTTGTTGTTCAGTCTGTGAGGAACGTAAAAAAATCCCATCGAATCAAAATGCATTAATAACGGCTGTATTAATGGCCAACATTGCCAGGGCAATATATCCGCATGAAGCCACCAATGGCCAACACAAGATAGCTCCCATGGCACCCAACTTTTCTTTTCGTATTACCATTAATACCCATGTGTGTATGTATATTCCGTGGCTCCATGCATATAGACCGGTATTGCCCCCGAGCCTCGTAAATGGACTAATTACTCACCGATTACGAAATAGTGTTTGGCTCGGTTTGCGGATTTCTTATGGCCGTCATTAGTTGCCGATTCCCCGGGAACACGCATTATGTAATAACAATGTCTCGTGTACAAGTGATCCTGTGTGTACGGCTCACTATGAATCCTGCAAATTGTTAATATGAAAGGGATTTCTTCGGTGGAGTGCTCTGTGGAGTGAAATTTTTCGGCTGGAATTTCTAGGGGACGAAATTTGGTGAATTTTTATTGAGTTAGTTTTACCGGAATTCAAGGAATTTTGTCATTAATTTCATAATTTGATGAAAGAATCGGTGGAAAATGGAATTTCAGTTCAATGATCCCATAAAGATGAATGGAAATCAGGGTAATTTCAAGGAAATTTTTTCTTCGATTTTTAATCAATTGAAAATCCTGTGAAATTTAGAATTTCAGGATTCTTTTACCGTAAATCAGATTGAAATAATAAACTGTAGATGAAATTTTTGTTTAGTTTTCGGCTCAAATTTCTGGTGGATTTCTTAGATTTTTATTGAGTTACCGTTCCACTAAAATTTCAAGTAATTTTTTCATTAAAAATTCACTATTTAATGTAAAAATCAGCGACAATTGTAAATTCCAGTTCAACTGCTGCATGAAAATTAATAGAAATCAGGAAAATTTTGAGTTACTTAATTCATGAATTTTTAATTAATTGACAATTTAGGATGATTCGAGGGGTCATTGGGTACCTGCTGCTTAAAAATTTGTAATTCTATTAAATTCCAACATTTAATGTTGAAATTTTCACACAAAAATTAATAATTTTGAAAATATTTTTTTCGACTTTATTATCATTAAAAAAATATTTGACTTATAATCCCGATACACTTCTTAGAAATTTTTATCAAGCGACAGTTCCACGGAAATTTTAAGGAATTTCATCGTTGAAAATTCACAATTTGATGTAAAAATCACTGAAACCTGAATTTCATTCTAATTATTCTACGAAAATTAATAGAAATGAAACAATTTTCAAGTAAATATATTATTGAATGTTTAAATAATTGAAAAATCAATCTCATTTAACGGCAATTATTTTCAAAACCATCTCTCAACACCTCAATCCGATTCAAACTGAAATTTCCTCTCCCTTAAATTCTTTTTTCACAAAAAAAAGCGCAGTAGGTGCGCGTCTGTCGACCTCTCTCCAAAAACTATTCACTCGTTACTAATTTACTGAAATATAATCATCCCACTAGAGCCATTTTCCTCAATTTCCAATGCTTTCGTTAGAAATAAATCGCGTGAAAATCGCAACGACATAAATCTGGCCCTGCGACGTATTTCATTGAATCGGATGAATCAGGCTATTACTGAAGGTAATAGGATCGAAGGTATACCAGGATTCAAGGTGATTTTCCACATTGATACTTTGTCTTCGTTCGTTGAAAGGTTAGAGTGAATTGGATTGCATCATCCCCCGATTGTATGTGACGGCCACTGAAGTACCAACATTGGATTATCCGAGTGGTGCACAAATATAGCGAAGGAAGAGTGCACAGTTGCACACAATAGGGTAAAGGGTTGATGGGCAGTGGTTGAGGACAGCTGTCTATAAGAAAAAGCCCAGCGAGACTGATAAGACCGGTGATCTAACAGACTGGACCCCAAGTGACGTTTGATGAGAGTGTGTGGTTGCCCTGTAACACGGGCAAATGGTGAGGACTGATGTAGAGGGCAATAATTGGGTGTGAAAACCGGCCACCGTCGGGGCACCGAGCGACATTTAAACGTTACCAGATAGGATATCGTGTCACAATATCGTGAGAGATTCAGTGCGATAGGATTTTAATTAAAATAGTCTCTCAATGTCTAGCGTGCACTGGTGATGACTGCTATTTGATTTATTTATTGACACAATATCTCGGTTACATGTTGCAGGTGAGAAGCCGTACCAGTGCACGTGGGAGGGCTGCACGTGGAAATTCGCCCGCTCGGACGAGCTCACACGGCATTATCGAAAACACACGGGACAAAAACCATTCAAGTGCCATTTGTGCCAGAGATCATTCTCCAGGAGTGATCATCTGTCACTGCATATGAAGAGGCACTGACCGATGTACCATTTCATCACTGGGTATATTGTACATTTTGAATACATCACGAGAGCTCATGCTGGACGAGTTGACGTTTTACATTCGGGACCTGAGAACAATTTTTTTTTCTTTCTTCTCTCAATTAAATTGAGGATTTATGATGATTAATAGGTGACAAATTTTCAAACGGATCGATTCAAGTTCACTAGGATTTTAGGGCTTGCGTAGGTTATTTACGATTAGAGGAGTTGCTCGAGCTTGTTGAATTACGACTCGATTATATTCATATTTAATTTAAAAATCATATTTATATTTTTTTTTCTCACGCGGTTTTTACGTAAGGCCAGCTCAACTAGTCTAGAGCAATTTTATCAATCTTAATGTTACGGAGAATAAGATGAAATGGAGCCAGTAAAATGTTTAATTCTAAGGTTTTCAATTAAGTACGATAAAAATTGTTGTTAAAGAGAAAAAAAAACATTAGTATTCTCCGTTATCCGGAGCTTGGGACTTAGCATGCTCAGTTAAATAAATAAAACAAATCGTGATCGCGTACATTAATTGTCACATTCAATCGGTATCAATTGATCAGTGATTTCAAGCAGAGACATTTTTTAAAAATTGAACTAATGAAAAATAAGAATTTCGCGTTTAGTGGAAGGACAATCACAAACTCCATTGTTGAATTCACCCCTGAATTTATCGAAATTCTGAAAGTATTAAGGAAATGCGGTATTTCTTATTAAAATAAAGTGTGTAATGAGCCGTTAACGGTGAGCATTAGTATTCTCTCCAATTAAGGCAATGGATGAATAATCTCTCAACAATAATTGCGGGGATTAAACTTTTAATCAAATTTGCGTGAAAGGTGCCAAAGTAAAAAGCGCGCAAACCCATTATTACGACCAAGAATCTCTTAATTGTCTCCATCCTCTCATTCACACTAACCGTTCCGTAACAAAACGACGAAAGGAAATGTTAAAAATTAAAATCAATTCAACACTGCCCTAGATCATTCGCTGGAGAATGCTCGACAACTTTTACCTTCAAAACCGCCTAAATGCGCTTTCAGAATGATTAATCGATCCTACAATTACTCTCGATGCTAAATGAAATCGAATTGCTCGTAATCACGCTTGAAAGAATACGAAAAAACCTGAATGAGGATGCTTCAACTGCTTCTGCTCATTATTTTCGACGCTCTACTCCCCGTTCTCATCGAAAAAAAAATCTAGATATACACATAAATGTACATAGAGAAAAAAATCTGCGATAAAGAGAAACGTAAATCGAGGCGGTAACACTGAGAACTTTCTCTCGTCAAGCACGACAATACACAAGTAATATGTCTGAAGTATATAATAAGTTTTAATGGTGGTTATTCGAGACAACAAGACGCAACGAGATGCCAGTAAATAGCCAGTGTTCCTCTTTCCTTTCATATTTTTTTTTCTTACTGTAATAACTGATTGATTCACGCGAAATTATTAAACGAATTAATCGTTGTTAAAATGTTACACCTGGTTAGATAATGTAACTAGTGCCTTCTCTAATCGTTGTTACGTGGATCGTCAGTACGTGTTGAACAAATATTTCCAGTATGGGGAACTGCTAGTGCCTTATCGATTATCAATTATTACAGCACTTTGTGAATATGGAATTGTGCAGTGAAAAATTTAAGGAATTGTAGAAGTTATTTTTAATCATCGATGTCTCCAGATTTAATGGGGCAATTGGGACAAATTGAATCTCATTTTAAAGCCTAGATATGACTTCAAAATTTTAAAAAGTTAATTTTACCCGGGGGACCGTGAGTTATTGATGATTGAGAAGCCTCGGGAGTAAAAAACTATTGAAATGCGGGGAAAACTGGAAAGAATGGACAATTTTAAGAAATGTTGAAAGGTATGAGGTGGTTGACAAGATGGCGGCGCCGCCATCTTGCTTGGGTGCCTCCGCGGGACTTTCAAGATGGCCGCGACCTCACCTCGCATTTTTAAACATTTCTGAAAATTATTCATCTTCGTAAAATGATATTTAACGCACTTCATCTGGTTTCTCTGAGAGGAACAAGTTTTTTAAGTCATCTTTTTCCCCCGCATTTCCGAATTTTTTTTACTTCTCTCCCCTATATGTTTCATAAAGATTAGCCCTAGATACGTCACCTCATGAGGGAAACGTCCCAGCGCGTCGTTTTTTCAAATTGCCATTGACTAATTAACTGGAAAAAATTGACCTTTTGAATCGAAGTGTCTAAAAAAATCACGAACTGTCAGAACAATATAATTACCGAAATTCCTAAAGAAAACAAATTACTCCCAACAAATGATTTATTTTCTCCGATGCAATGGGAAATAGACCATTTCATTCTGGGAATCTTGGGAAAATATTTATTCCGTTCATCAAACTGAAAAATCACCAAAAAATAATGAAAAATTCTGATAAATATTAACATTTAAAATGAGACACATTTGAGATCTCCAAGATGATGATTTATATGTAAATTCGGTAGAAGTGTCCGCAACTTCTAGCGAAGAAATTAACACGGGAAACGAGTGTCCGAAAATCTAGTGACTCTCCGGGTGAAAAGATCTATCGCGCGACGTTACGCTCGTTCCGCGACGTTGCCGGAGCCTCGCTAACCGCGTCCGGGCAGCGTAGAGTGAATTCGGCAACGCTGGCGCCTAAATACCGCAGCGGCGAGCCTCCGCGGAGGTGACCAACTGCAGACTAGGGTTTAATTCGGTGCTAGCCTAATTTTTTTATTGATATTGCCTTACGAGGGACCACAAGGGTGTTTTGATGAGTTGGAAAATGGCCTGACATCCGTCCAAACCGATGAAAATACATTCCAATACGTGAAGATGCATTCCAAAACAACCAACTGTTGACATGTTTCTCGTTTCGTTCGTAAATTTGGCCTCTGACCTCATCCATCGATTTTCACCGCCTTCATTCCCCTCAAGGACGCGTGACATTCCGCTACCACACGCGTCCCTAGGTCAACGGTTTCAAAACGACTAGACCGGAGCGAAAAAAAAAATCTGTGAGTAATGTGCGGCGGACGATGAAGAATTAGGTTCGCGCAGAATCAAAGACAGAGCATTATAGGTCGTTTCTCATGGTAATGTCCCATTGAATTTTTCCGTAACCGTAGATGGGTGATACATTGAATGGGTGAGGAAGTGGCTGGAGGAACAAACTATTGAATGTGAACGGTTTTTCTTTGAAGGCCCCACCCAAGGAAATTAGCATTTCAAGTGCCTTAAGAGACGTTAACCGGCACTCAACTTATCGAGGTTACGCAGTCAATTAAATTAAAATGTAGATTAGGGAAAAATTGTGGGTTCGGGGGACAATTAATGATCATTAGCTCGTGAATTCGTTGTAGAATTCCGTTAAGAGGTTGCTTTGTTTTATTTTTATCGGTAATATAATTTATTGTCGGTGGCAGGTGGTGAGGTAGAGGAAAACTTCTAGTTTTTGGAATTAAATTACTGAGAGGCGATGGAATTAAGGCGAATACTTGTGATTATTTCAAGTGAAAAATTTTTGTGAACAGGATTTGTCGATTCCTTGAGGGTCACGAGGGTTATCCTTTTTTTTAACTTCATGACCCTCACTTTTCTTTCAAAATCAAAAAATTCTCAAATTTCAAAAATTAAAAAGTTGAGAATTGAAATTGTTTTTTTTTTATTTTTAGAATTTTGATTTCAAGTGATACACTTTCAATAATAAATAAATTATATGTTAGTCTGAAAAATAATTACAATTTTCAGAGGTATTGAAAAAAATGGAACTAAAAATCATTTATTTAAAAATAAAAATGTTCTTGATTCAAAAATCCAAATTTTTTAAAATTGCGAACTCGATATTTTCTCAAAATAATAGGAAAGATGAGATAATTCAGGCATAATCAAATTGGGAATTAGAACTTTAATGTCTCCATTCAGAAGAGTTCAAGGAATTTGGAAAAAAATTAAAACAACATTTATCGACGTTTCGCTGATTATTCCAATTAATTTAATTTTTTCAACATCCCTTGAAATCTTCTGCATATTTAACAACAATGGAGATGAATCAGAACATTTATTTGTTACGTTATTTAATAACAAATAAATTATAAGCTAAACTGAAGAAAAATTACATTTTTCAAAGGTATATTGAAAAAAAAATCCAGATAAAATTATAACTCCAAAAGCCCAAATTTAAAAATTCAGAACTCAAGATTTTCTGGAAATAATCGAAAATGTGTTTTTTCATCCGAAAAATTTGAAGGAATTATGAAGAAAAATAAAGCAGCATTCATCAGATCGACTGAGAATGAGTAAAAAAAATCCCACAATTAGCCCTCAGAAATTTTCGCTGAAAACTAGGAACACTTTCCTTCTAAAATACCACAACAATGGATATCTAGGGTCAGTAGAGGCGCCTCGTCGAGGTGCCCGTCCCCTCGTATTTTCGATTCCCCAGCGATTCAACCGAATAAAATCGACGCAATCGATAACCCCGTGCCTCCCGGTCAACGCGAAAAATCGCGAGTCAACGCGGAAAACGCGGCCAGTAACCCATATTAAATGACAGAGCAGTAAGAACAGAACAGAACAGACCGACAGGTATTAAACAGGCGCGCACGCACACGCCCTTCCCTTTTTCCTGCAGCCAGGCTCAACGACTAAAAAGGAACGGGCGATTAAGTTTTATCAGCCGGTTTATACCGCGTCGAGAGACCCCAGAAATTGTGGAAATGTTGCTTGAGGGGAGACTCCACGGAAATTTCAAAATCCCAGGGGCCTTTATTTATCGCACTGATGCATTTACAACTTCAGTTTTAATGTAATAAAATAAGGAAAAGTTAAGTTTTAATTATTTTTTTATTGATGGAATCTTCTGAAAAATTTTTGTTTACACAGAGAGGATTTATACATAAAGATAAATAAATGAGACTCGTTGAGAATATTTTTTTTGAGTTTTTGGAGTTTTTCTAATTCAATATTTGCGCTGTTAAAAATTTTCTACTGACGTTTCCGGTAAGGGTCTTGAAAATTTCTAACATTTTTAACATGTTCACTGAAATATCTAGGATTTTTTTCATTAAACACTCATAATTTAATGGAAAAATTCGCGTGAACTGTAAATTTCAGTTCAATTATTCCGGAAAAATTAGTGAAAAATGAGGATAATTTAGAGAAATCTCTTTAAATTCCAGATCGCTCTGAATTTTCATGGAATTCCACGAATTTTAAAGGAATTCCCTGAAAATTACTAGGGAATGTGGCACAGAATATTTACTTTCAATTAAAAATTCATCTAAATGGTGGAATTTTCGTCTTCCTACCGCTGAAAATTCAGCCAATTTTGTTACAGTGTACAGCAAATCATTGAAGTACGATTTTTTTCAGATATCTGTCATCATTTCAGTAGCGAAGC